AGGTCAGAGCTGGTACAAGGTTATAAACTACTACCGTCACAATTTGCTGTCTCTGCCTTTCGGCATCTTTGGGTCCAGGGGTAGCAAATTGTGACAGATGCGGGTACACTTGTCACAATCTGCTATCTCTACCTTTCCCCATCCTCTGGTCCAAGGGAAGCAAATTGTGATGTATAAGGGTTCACCTGTTGAAATTTGCTTTTCCCATCTCCAGATTTGGGGGCAGCCAGTTGTGATAATTCCATCACTATTTGCTACCATTGTGAAATCTCCATTTTAAAATTGGGCACAAATAAAACAAGGTATTTTTCTAGTTTGGAAAAGCGTTCTACAGAGTTAAACCACAGGGCTAGTGTATGCAAAACCCTGAATGAAGATGGTGTTATTTCTTTATTAGTCTCCTTCCATTGTAGTTAGGCCATACGGTTTCTATAGTAAACAAACATTTAATGTACACAAAACACTGAAACTAGTTGAAGGCATAGTAAATAGTATTTTAAATACTAACCAATACATTGTCAACAAAAGCTCTTAGGCAGAACATCTACTATTGTTCCATATACAGACACACACACCACTGTCACCGTTACACATAAATGTGTACTGCTCTACTTTGGCACAAACGCATGAGCTCATTACTCCCAATCTTATTTCCGAGATATATTCTCAGGCCTTTGCCTCACTGCTAAAACTGAAGTTGCTTGTCCTCACTGTGTTTTTAGCTCACAATAACACCCACACCTTAGCTACTCCAAGTCAAACAAAACGGAAAAGTCACAAAGGGACTTATGCACTGCAATTAGGGATGTAAAATGTTAACCGACCTTAACTGTTAACACCTGGCCAGCCGCCCACACCCCAGCCCCCGGCTGCCTGCACCAGGCCAGACCCCCAGAAATATGGTCTAGATCAGGGGTCTCAAACATGTGGGCCACGGGGCTATTTCCTGCAGCCCACCAAGCAGCCTGCGCCCCCCCCCCGGCCTACCTCCAGGCCAGGGGTGGGCAAACTACACCCGCGGGATTGCCCCCCTCGAGCCCCGCGCCACTCCCTGAAGCGGCTGGCATCGCGGCCGGGGGGAGGAGGGGAGAACAGAGGGCTCCATGTGTTGCCCTGGTTTCCCGGCACCACCCCCCCGCAGCTCCCATTGGCTGGGGGAATGCAGGGACATGGTTCCAGCTGCTGAGCAGGGCCAGGGCCAGGGCCAGCAGGTAGCCTGCCCTGGCCCCGGTGTGCGCCGCTGCCACCCCGGAGGGGCTTTAGGTAAGCAGCACCTGGCCAGAGCCCGAAGCTCTCCTGCACCCCGCTCCCCAACCCCCTGCCCTGAGCCCCCTGCTGCATCCCACACCCCTTCTACACCCCAACCCCCTGCCCTGAGCCCCCTGCCGCATCCCACATCCCTGCTGCACCCCAACCCCCTGCCCTGAGCTCCCTGCCTGAACCCCAACCCTCTGCCACACCCCGCACTCCCTCCTGCATCCTGCACCCCAACTCCCTGGCCTGAGCCCCCTGCCACACCCCTCACCCCCCTGCATCCCAACCCTCTGCCCTGAGCCCCCTGCCGCACGCCTCACCCCTTGCTGCACCCCAATTCCCTGCCCTGAGCCCTCAGTCGCACCCTGCACCCCAATTCCCTGCCCTGAGCCCCCGCCACACCTGTCCTGCACCCTCTGCGGGCAGGGAGGGGGTGGAGTTGGGGTGGGGACTTCGGAAAAAGGGTTGGAATGGGGGCAGGGAAGGGGTGGGAAGAGGCAGGGCAGGGGCAGGGCCTCATGGAAGGGGTGTAGTGGGGGCAGGGCCGGGGCAGCGAAGGGGTGTGTGTGTGTCAGTGATGCGGCCCTTGGGCCAATGAACTAGTCCTCATGTGGCCCTCCTGGTCATTTGAGTTTGAGACCCCTGGTCTAGATGAAATTACTGTAAGGTGGGTACACAAGTGGTTGAAAGACCATACACAAAGAGTAATCATAAATGGTTCACTATCCAACTGGGAGGACACATCTAGTGGGGTCCCACAGAAGTGAGTCCTCGATCTGCTACTATTCAATATTTTCATTAATGAGTGGGGAGCGTATGCTTATGAAATTTGCAGATGACAGCAAGCTGGGAGGGCTTGCAAACATTTTGGAGGACAGGATTAGAATTCAAAATGACCATGACAAATTGGAGAACTGGTCTGAATTCAACAAGATGGCAGTCAATAAAGACAATTTTAACCTTAAACCATTTATTAAAATTTTGTCAGGTCAAAATTGATACCTGTAAAATACTGCAAAGGCTTCCCTACACAGGGCAACAGTCAGAAAGTTGAGTGCTCCACTCCTTCACTCCTCCTCTTTGGATTTAAAAAAAAAAAAAAAAAAAAAAACGGGGCTACACCTGGACCATGCAAAATCAGGGCCAGGTTAACATTTTGTGGGCCCCCATAGGGGCAATGGAGCATGGCGCAGGGAGGTCAGTCCCCAGAGTGAGGGGCCAGCTGGGGCAATGGGTGGCCCCGCTCCACCCTGCCCAGTGCGAGGGCACTGTTTACAAACTGGCAGTTGCCAAATGCAGTGGCCCGGCCAGCCCTGTGCTGCCAGCGTGACCCCTTCCCCTCGGGGGCGGGCCCATGCCACGCCACACAGCCCCCTGGCCCAACACCCCATAGGTGCCGACTCTGTGGGTGCTCTGGAGCTAGAGCACCAACAGAAAAAAAAAAAGTGTGGGTGCTCGGCACCCAGCAGCAATCCCAACGATCAGATCCTCTCCCTCATCCACAGTGCCTCCCATCAGCTGTTCAGCAGCGGGCAGGAGGCGGGGAGGGGGAGGAGCAGGGGCAGGAAGAGGCGGGGGCACTCTGGGGAGGGTGCGGAATAGGGCAGGAAGAGGTGGGTGGCAGGGCCTTGGGGGAAAGGGGCTTGGGACAGAGCTGGGATCAAGCACCCATGGGGAAAATCAGAAATTCAGCACCTCTGCAACCCCTCCAACGCCCTATGGCCTGAGGGCCCCGCCCCCCAAATGCAGAGCGCCCTGCACAACCCTGCAGGCCGAGACGAGCGAGTGGTGGGCAGGGGGAGCCAGCAAGCAGAGCAGGTCGGGGCCCCTTCTGAGCATGGGCCTGGCTCCAGAACCCCACTGTAACCCCAGCACTGTACAAAATGGTAAACGTGCCCAACAGGTGAAAGGCCTGATGACTAGTAGTGTTTTGGCGCAGGACTCCTGCATGGCTGCCCTGCCTGCCCCGGTCAAAACTGAGGCCACTTCCCTTCTGAACGAAAGGGTCCCGGCGGGGTTCACGGCCCTGTGCACTAACTGCCCCCTGTAGCGTCCCCCAGCCAGACACCTCACGCATCAGGGCAGTTGGGGGGGAGCCGCTACTAGTCACTTCACGATGTTCTAGGTGCAGTGACCCCGGGACCCCCCGAACGGCGCTGCAGCCAAACACCGCAGCCGCTCAAGGACCAGCGAGCGCCGCACAGGAGGCCCCGCAGCGTGTTGCGGAGCAGGCTCAGGCCGCACGCGCCGGCTCCGGGCCAGCGCGTTCTGACGGGCAACGGTTCCCCGCCCCGCCCGCAGCCGTGGCCAGCGGCAGCTCGTTGCTTTAAGCGACTCCCCGCGCGGGGTGTCGGCCCCCCCTCGGAGGGGCAGGGGCGGGGCCTGCGCGCGGCGATTCCGGCCAGTCGGGCTGTTACCTCCGCGCTGTCTCCCCGGCGCGTCTCCGCTCGGTCTCCGCCGCGGCTCTCGCCCGCTCGAAGGTCACCTCCTCGGGCGCCTCATCCTCCTCTTCATCCTCAGAGGAGGAGACGGCGGCGTCCGCGGGCGTCTCCGGGGCAGCAACGTCTTTCTCCAGCATCGCGCGCCGCCTCCGCGTCATCGCCATAGCGTCTCGAGCAGCCCGACCCGAGGAATCACCTTTTCACCTCTGACCCGGACGCAGTCGCCAGGCCGCCGCGGCAGGGCTCGCACTACAGCTCCCAGCCTGCTCCGCGGCCGGCTCAGCCTCGGCCCGCGCACGCGCCGCGCCCTCCCCTCCCCTCGCTCGCGCTTTGCAATTGCAGGCGGGCGCCCTCAGCCCGTGGGGCGAAGCGGAGCTCGAGAGCCGCTTCCTCATTCGGCGCAGACCCGCCGAGCGCCCCAGGCGCTGCTGCACCTGCCCTGGGCCGGAGAGGCCCCTAGCCGCGCTCACGGCAATCAACGCGACACTGTGCCCCGGCCCCTCCCCCTCCCGACCTACGCCCCGCACTTAGCCCCGCCGCGGTGGAAGTGCCCTGAGCCAGGCTGCAGTAGCGCTGCCAGCGGGGGCCCACGGCTAGAGCACAAGCAGAGTACGCCACAGCCCCGCCAAAGCCTGCATTACTTTAGGCAAAGACGGACACAAACCACAGCTCAGCAGTAAAAAGCGACCCGAGGCGCCAGTAACGCTGTTTAATAACAATACCCATAACACGGTAACAGGTGCTTAAGCAAGGGAAATAACACAAAGACCATGCAGCTCCCTGGTGCAGATGGCAAAGCAGCTAGGATGGAAATGGTCCTCATGTGCACTGTGCTTCCATCAGTGTCACACACAAAGTGCAGCACCGCAAGCATAAACCTCTCCCTCGTGTAAACGTTCTCATGACTCAAAGTTTTTATTCTGTTTATTTATTTTCAAAGTGCTGAAGTGTTAGCCTCATAAAAAGTTAGTTACTTTCCCTCCTTTGACACAACATCCTTTCAGAAATTTCACCTCTCTTATAAAAATTGTCAAAGATACATAAGCCTCAAATTGGTTTACCATGAAGTCTTTGGGGAGTTCAGATTCATCTAACAGAGCAACATCCTCCTACTGTAGCCAGTCAATTTTGGAGTCATTCATGATTGTTTTTGTTTTCCTTTGACAGAAAAGATTTTATTCCGACAAAAACGTGACTTTTTTTAAATTCCAAAGTCCAGTATTTTCCCCTGTTCCCAACCCTATCTCTGCCATCAGTGTAACGGAGAATCAGGATTTCTTTGATTAGATCTGTGGCAGAAACTAGTCTCCTTACAACACTTAGGGTTTCTTCTACAAACATCCATTTCACCTTGTGTGTACTTCTTGATATTCTTAGCAATTTAATTATTTCCCCTCCCTTCCTCAGATGAATGCTCATGAGATTAGTTCAGTTTTATGGCGAGCAAGCGCTGGAGGCAGGGTGGTACCACAGGGACCTGGGAAATGAAATCTGAAACAGAAATCAGAATGGTTAGGGGAAAAATGATGATAGAGAACTTTTCAGAAAGCCAGTTATAATACAAATTACCACCACAGCATTTTTGCCCTTTATACACTTCCCTTAATCCAGTTTCTGCAGTTTGTCTAGTCATTTTAAAAGGGTTAATTTTTCTACACAGACTCCAGAGCAAGCAGCACCTGTTGTAATAGCTGTTTAAGCAGCAAATGATTCAACAGAGTGAAGTAGTAAATTGACCGTAATCCTACAGACTTCATATTAACTGCCAATTTATTGAAAATACAAAAACTAAACTAAAACACTAAAAATAAAACAGGAGAGTTTAATACCATCTGACTGACAGAATTATAAACTCTTCGGACCTCCTTCTCTATACTATTTTTCCAAAATCTGCCTAAACTTTAAACAAAGAGATAGGAAAAAACATTGTCTAACATTTTCTAGACCAGTGGCCCCCCCACTATGGGCGCACCCCCTAGGGAGTCATGGCGGGGCCTGGGCCAACCCCCGCAGGGGGCAGGGAGGTAGCGCCACCCAGACCACGCTCTGCCCCCAGACCAGCTCCACTCTGGCCCCCAGCTGCAGCTCCACTCCACCCCAAGACCTCTGCTGCTGAAGCCTTGGCTGTGCAGTAATGGAAGGGGGGGGACGGACAGATTCCATTACTAGAAAGGGGGGGGGGGGCGCAACAGGACAAGTTTGGACATCACTGTTCTAGACACTTAAGAGCATTAAGTTTTATCAGGACAACATAAGATATCATTTAAGTTAACGTTGCTTCCCCTTTCTACCTAAAATATGAGCAGTTTTACCTGAACCTATTTGTAGCAGGGGTGGCTTGCATGTTAAATTCTGCAACTGGCACTCCTCTGGCAGATACTTGAGGAGCAAACATAGCAGCAGGATACACCACAGAAGAGGTTCCCACCTGCAGGAAAAAAAAAAAAAAAAATAGCACCAGACCAGCATTTTAAAAAAAGAATTCAGTAACTTTCAGACATCCTGAGAGACTCTCGACCTGCAGATTTGCTAAAACATCTAATGCATGTTCAACCCTACAATACAAGTCTACAAGTATTAATATGGCCTAATTAATGCAACCTGCTGAAACCTGAGGGATAAGAGGTCTGATGCAGTGCTCCTCGGACTGGAAGGGAGTAAAAACAGCACTCAAGTTTGCTCTTCAGCCCTTCTAGTTGACAGTGGTATGGTGGTGACTGGTTACAAAGTAAGCCATTTCCAGTCATATGTGGTGGGGGGGGGGGGAAATCACTCAGATGTGGGGCCACTGGCAAGGGAATAAATAAAGGAAATCCTAACAGAACACAACCTAAAGCAAGTTTAAATATATGAAGGAAAGTAGCCTCCCACCTACCTTTCAGGGGTATTGTGGAGATTAATATTTATAGAGGGATCTGAACTAGGGCTGTCAAGCGATTAAAAAAATTAATCACGATTACTCACGCGATTAATCGCACTGTTAAACAAAAATAGAATACCATTTATTTAAATAGTTTTGGACGCGTTCTACATTTTCAAATATATTGATTTCAATTACAACACAGAATACAAAGGGTACAGTGCTCACTTTATTTTTGATTACAAGTATTTGCACTGTAAAAAACAATAGTATTTTTCAATTCACCTAGTACAAGTACTGTAGTGCAATCTCTTTATCATGAAAGTTGTCTTACAAATGTAGAATTATGTAAAAAAACCAAAACCCCTGCATTCAAAAATAAAACAAACAATGTAAAATTTTAGAGCCTACAAGTCCACTCAGTCCTACTTTTTGTTCAGCCAATCGCTCAGAAACAAGTTTGTTTACATTTGCAGGAGATAATGCTGCCCGCTTCTTGTTTATAATGTCACCTGAAAGTGAGAACAGGCATTCTCATGGCACCGGGGTGAAAGTAAATTAAAGGACTTACCGGTACACCGGAGTCCTGAGCAGGGGGGCAGGGCCTCAATTGGAAGAGGTGGGGCCTTTAAATCCCCGGGCCCTTTAAATCAAGTTTTAAAGGGCCCGGGGCTCTGCTGCGGTAGAGACGCCTGGAGCCCCTGGCCCTTTAAATCACCGCCGGAGCCCCGCTGCTGCTAGCCTAGGGCTCCAGCAGCGGGACTCAGGAGGCAATTTAAAGGGCCCGGGGCTCTGGCTGCTGCCCTTTAAATCGCCAGCCTGGGGAAGCCGGTCCGGTCCGGTGTACCGGCTGGCTCTTGCCAGTATGCCGTACTGTATTGGCTTACTTTCATCTCTACATGGCATTGTTGTAGCTGGCGTCGCAAGATATTTACGTGCCAGATGCGCTAAAGATTGACATGTTCCTTCATGCTTCAACCACCATTCCAGGGGACATGCGTCTATGCTGATGAGGGGTTCTGCTCGATAACAAGCCAAAGCAGTGCAGACCGACGCATGTTCATTTTCATTATTTGAGTCAGATGCCACCAGCAGAAGATTGATTTTCTTTTTTGGTGGTTTGGGTTCTGTAGTTTCCGTATCAAAATGTTGCTCTTTTAAGACTTCTGAAAGCATGCTCCACACCTCGTCCTTCTCAGATTTTGGAAGGCACTTCAGATTCTTAAACCTTGGGTCGAGTGCTGTAGCTATCTTTAGAAATCTCACCTTCTTTCTGTTTTGTGAAATCTGCAGTGAAAGTGTTCTTAAAATGAACAACATGTGCTGGGTCATCATCCAAGACTGCTATAACATGAAATATATGACAGAATGCAGGTAAAACAGAGTAGGGGATATACAATTCTCTCCCAAGGAGTTCAATCTCAAATTTAATTAACGCATTTTTTTTTTAAACAAGCATCATCAGCATGTCCTCTGGAATGGCGGTTGAAGCATGTAGAGGGCATATGAATGTTTAGCATATCTGGCACAAATACCCTGCAATGCTAGCCACAAGAGTGCCATGCAAATACCTGTTCTCAAGTTCAGGTGACATTGTAAATAAGAAGAGGGCAGCATTATCTCCAGTAAATGTAAACAAACTTGTTTGTCTTAGCGATTGGCTGAACAAGAAGTAGGACTGAGTGGACTTGGGGGCTCTGAAGTTTTACATTCTTTTGTTTTGGAGTGCAGTTATGTAACAAAAAAAGTCTACATTTGTAAGTTGCACTTTCAGGACAAAGAGATTGCACTACAATACTTGTAAGAGGTGAACTGAAAAATACATCTGAAGAAGTGAGGTTTTTTACCCACGAAAGCTTATGCCCAAATAAATCTGTTAGTCTTTAAGGTGCCCCCGGGCTCCTTGTTGTTTTTGTGGATACAGACTAACATGGCTACCCCCAATACTATTTCTTTTGTTTATCATTTTTACAGTGCAAATATTTGTAATACGAAATAATGTACACGGATTTCAATTACAACACAAAATACAATATATATGAAAATGTAGAAAAATATCCAAAATATTTAATAAATTTCAGTTAGTATTCTGTTTAACAGTGCGATTAAAACTGCGATTAATCGCGAATAATTTTAATTGCAATTTAATTTTTTGAGTTAATCGCATGAGTTAACTGCGATTAATCGACAGCCCTAATCTAAACATGTAAAACACAGAATATATTAAAAAGCAAAAGATGAAGTTGCACTTGAAAGAATAATCTATGGTGGGAGAGGCAGTTTCGAGGAAACTGTCACTCACCTACCAGCATAGATTGTGCTATCATTGCAAAGATGTTTCTTCTCTTTTTTTCCTTATTTTGTATAAATTAAATGTTAAAGTAACCTTAAAGTTGAGAATGTAAACACATTATAAGGACACATTCAATTAAAGAAAAAAGCTAAAAGTAGTTTCAGGTACTATACCTGTCCCTTTCCCTTCCTACCAACTTACAGAACATAGTTTTCTCCCCTTTTAGCTATATGAAAAATCCATGCAAACAGGAGCAACTGATTGGCTCTATTAATCTGACTATTTATAAAGTTCTGTCAAATGCAGTTAAAACAAAATATATTTAAAAAAATTTGTTAGCTTTTACAACTTCCTAAACAGTTATATTTAAAAAAACAAAACAAAAAAAAGTCAAAAGTGTGATTTTTTTAAAGTTTCCAGCGTTTAAGGAATTCAAAAGTTAAGCAATATTAGGTTGGTCATATTGCATAAGTACTTTCAACTACTGCATATGCAGCTAATGTATAACTTTAATATAGATAGTATGTGCTATGTGGCCAAGTTAACACTGCTGAATTTGCTTCAACTCAGAAATTCTTCACTGGTATGTTTAAATTATCAAACTTAATGGTACCTTAACATACTGAGACTTTATTTTAATGTATTACGTTTCACTGAAACTGTCTCATGGCTGTATCTACATTTCCCATATCTGAGAGATGTGATTTCTTAATTTCAGCTTGCTTGACTAAATATGAAACTAAGGCATTCCTTACCACCAAACAGAGGTCACAGATCTCAAGTTCATTTTCAACCTCTGTAAGAATGTCAGAATTCAGAGTTTCTCCAAACCACACAACATGGGGACGGAGGAGGCCATTGCAGCCTTGCTCTTCACACCTGTGAAAAGTTACAACAATAGAAGGAGATACAACACTTGAAGTGATTTTGAGCCTTGGATTGATTTGTTAAAAATGTTTAAGATAGACTTATTTCTATTACAATAGGTTTGTTAGATCACACTTCGGACAACAATATATTCAATCTAGGCATGACTAAGGCTACGATTTAGTCACGGGTATTTTTTAATAAAAGTCACGGACAAGGCACGGGCAATAACCCAAAAGTCACGGCCTGTGACCTGTCCTTGACTTTTACTAAAAATACCCCTAATTAATATCAGGGGGGGGGGGGGGGGGGGGCGCGCACTCCTGTGGCTGCTGATGCTCTACAGCAAGGGTTCTCAACATTTTTCTTTTTGAGGCCCCCATCAACATGCTATGAAAACTTCACTGCCCACCTGTGCCACAATAATTGGTTTTCTGCATATAAAAGCCAGGGCTGGCATTAGGGGGTGGCAAGCAGGGCAATTGCCTGGGGCTCCACACCACAGGGGCCCTGGCGAAGCTACATTGCTCAGGCTTCAGCTTCAGCCATGGGTGGTGGGACTCCGAGCCCCAGGCTTCAGTCCCATTCGATGGGGCTTCGGCTTTCTGCCCTGGGCCCCAGCAAGTCTAACACTGACCCTGCTTGGCGGCCTCCCTGAAACCTGCTTGCAGCATCCCAGGAGGCCCCAGACCCCTGGTTGAGAACCACTGCTTTAGGTAGGGTGACCAGATAGCAACTGTGAAAAAACGGGGCGGGGGGTAATAGGCACCTATATACGAAAAAGTCCCCAAAACCGGGACTGTCCCTTTAAAGAGAGGTTACTCACCTGTGCAGTAATTGACGTTCTTCGAGATGAGTGTCCCTGTGGGTGCTCCACTCCAGGTGTGGGTGCTCCACTCCAGGTGTGGGTGCTCCACTCCAGGTGTGGGTGCTCCACTCCAGGTGTGGGTGCTCCACTCCAGGTGTGGGTGCGTCCCTGCGCCTTTGCTCGGAAATTTTGACAGCAGTACTCGTATCGGTCGCGCACGCGCAGAGCCTGCCCCACGCGCTGAGTGTGCCTTAATAGCGCGCGACCGGTCTCAGTTCCTTCTCTACAACGGAGGCTACCCCAACTCCGAAGTAGAGGGAAGGAGGGTGGGTAGTGGAGCACCCACAGGGACAGTCATCTTGAAGAATGTCAGTTACTGCACAGGTGAGTAACCTCCTCTTCTTCTTCGAGAGATGTCCCTGTGGGTGCTCCACTCCAGGTGACTTAAAAGCAGCGTATCTCAAGGAGATAGGGACTTCGGATCTGGTAGGAATGCAGTAGATAGTACAGCTCTGCCCAATCGTGTATCAGAGAGAGGTTCTTGATTAAGGGCATAATGCTTAACAAATGTGTGTTCAGAAGTCCAAGTGGCCGCTTTACAGATGTCAGCCAGAGGAACTTTGCGTAGAAAAGCCACGGAGGTAGCTACGGAGGTAGTGGAGTGAGTTCTGATGCCGGCTGGAAGAGTTCTTTATCTGATAGCACAGTCAGATACACTCAGAGATCCAGTTGGAAAGTCTCTGGGTAGAAATAGATGTGCCTTTGGATCGCTCTGCAATGAAGACAAAGAGTCTGGAAGAGTTCCTAAAGGGCCTGGTTCTATCCAAATAGAAGGACAAAGCCCTGTGGACATCTAACGTATGCATTGTGGATTCAAAAGAGTTTGCATGTGGTTTAGGAAGAAGGTCATTGATGTGGAATGACGAATGCACCTTTGGAAGAAATCTGGGATGTAGTCGGAGGGTAACTTTGTCCTTAAAAAATAGTGTGTACGGTGGGTCCGCCATGAGAGCTGCTATTTCTCCTGTGCATCTGGTGGAGGTGATTGCCACTAAGAATGCTGTTTTCATAGAGAGGTGTAAGAGGGAGCAAGTGGCTAGGGGCTCGAATGGTTGTTGAGTTAAGTAGGTTAATACTAAGTGAAGGTCCTACGGAGAGGTAGGAGGTTTAATGTCCCGGTATAGGGATTGGAGCCCTTTGAGAAAACGCTTGGTGACTGGATGAGGAAAAACAGAGGTATTGTTGATCTTGTCATGAAAAGTTGTAATAGCAGCTAAGTTGACTTTGAAGAAGCTGAAAGAGAGGCCAGATTGCTTAAGGTCTAATAGGTAGTCAAGTATGAATGGAAGAGGTGCAGAAGTAGGAGGAATTTGTTTGGTTGAGCACCATTGTGTGAATCGCTTCCACTTTTGGAGATAGGTGGTGCAAGTAGATTGCGTTCTGATATGTAGGAGCACTCTTTGAACCTGCTCAGAGCATGCTAGTGCATTTTGGGAGAACCATGTAGGAACCAAGCTTTGAGGTGAAGCATGGACAGGTTGGGGTGAATAAATCAGCCGGGTTGCTGCGATAGGAGGTTCGGAGAAAGGTGCAACGAAATCAGTGGGCGAATTGACTTTCTGGTGAGGAACAGAAACCATGGTTGTCTGGGCCACAACAGGGCAATCAGAATTACCATGGCACAATCTGTTCGTATATTTGTCAGAACTCTGTGGAGGACCGGTATTGGGGGAAATGCATACAGTAAGTCCTGATCCAGTGAGATCATGAATGCATCTCCTAGGAAATGTTTCCCCAGTCCTGCTCTGGAGCAAAATTCGGGACATTTCTTGTTCTTCGCAATTGCGAAGACGTCTAGGGTTGGGTAGCCTCAAATGCAGAATATGTTGCGGATGATCGTCTTATCTCCCATTCGTGATCCCACGGAAATCATATGCTTAATTCATCCGTGGTGGTATTCATAGCTCCGGGAAGATAGGTGGCTGATATCCGGATGTTGTTCGCAAGGCACCAATTCCAGAGCTTCATAGCTTCTGTGCAAAGCGAGTGAGAGCGAGCTCCTCCCTGCCTGTTTACACAGAACATGCAGGCAATGTTGTCTGTCATTATTCGAACATGTTGGTTCCGAATCAATGGGAGGAAGTGACGGCAAGCGTTGCGTATGGCTCAAAGCTCTAGGACATTTATGTGTAGGGAGGTTTCGGTTGAAGACCATAGCCCCTGGGCTGTGTGGTGGGACATGTGTGCACCCCACCCTGTGAGGGTGCATCGGTAGTCATTATGAGGGATGGAGCATCCTGGAGAAAGGGGACTCCTGAGCAGAGGTTGGAGGGAACCGTCCACCATAGGAGAGAGTCTTTGACTCTGAAAGGTATGGATAGAGGCTTGTTTAGAGCGTGTACATTCGGTTTGTAAAACGTGGCCAACCAAGCTTGGAAGCACCTCATGTATAATTGTGCATTTTTGACCACAAACGTGCACGAGGCCATGTGACCTAAGAGTTGTAGATGGTCTTGAGCAGTGACCTGAGGACTGTTGCGAAGTTTCATGGCCAGGAGTTTTATGGTGTTGAAACAGTCGGGCGGGAGAGATGCTATTCCCGTCTAGGAATCGAGGTGTGCTCCTATGAACTCCAGGTGTTGGGTAGGAGATAAGGTGGATTTGTTTTTGTTTATTTGTAGGCCAAGGGACAGGAAGCAAGCAACGGTGAGCTGCGTGAATCGAAGAGCTTCGTCGAGCGTTGAGGCTTTGAGGAGACAATCGTCGAGGTAAGGAAATATTAAGACCCCTTGTTTCCTGAGGTAGGCAGTTACTACAGCTAGGAGCTTGGAAAAAACACAGGGGGCGGTGGATAGGCCGAAGGGTAGCACCCTGCATTGAAAGTGTGTTGAGCAGAGGATAAAACAAAGGAAACATCTGTGGGCCGGATGTATAGTCACATGAAAATAGGTGTCCTGTAGGTCGAGGACTGAAAACCAATCGCCCAGTTCCAGCACTGGGATTATGGTGGTGAGGGTAACCATTTTGAACTTTTGCTTTTTGATAAATTTATTGAGCTGCCGGAGGTCGAGGATCAGTCATCATCTCCCGGGTTTCTTTGCTCTTAAGAAATAATGGGAATAGAAACCCTTCCCTCTGTGTTGTTCAGGCATGACTTCCACTGCTCCCAATTGAAGGAGATGTACTTCTTGGAGGAGCAGTTGCTCTTGAGAGGGGTCTCTGAAGAGGGATGGGGAGGGTGGGTGGGTAGGAGGCAAGGATAGGAAAGGGATGGAATAGCCAATTGTGACGACCTCTATAACCCACTTGTCAGTGGTAATGTTCTGCCACTGATGGGAGAATGGTCGTAGGCGATGTCCAAAAAGAGGGGCAGGCGGTGTAAGCACTGAAGTGGGAACGTTGTTTTCTATACCCAGGACCACGGCTTCAAATCTGCTTATTAGTCAGAGGTGGTTGAGATGCTGCTGAGGAGTTGGGATGGCGGCGCTGGTATCTGGGTCTCTGGTGTTGCTGTTGTTGTTGTTGTTGTTTCTCATGTGATCTATGGAATTGCTTGGTGTATGTGGGGTAGCGTGGACGCTGGTAAGGTTGAGATCTATATTGTCATCTTCTGGTCATAGGGGTTTGAATTCCTAGGGACCGGAGAGTTGTCCTTGAGTCCTTCATTGAATGAAGTACATTGTTCGTCATGGAGGCAGAGAGTTTGTCGCCATCGAAGGGAAGATCTTCAATGGTACTCTGGACCTTTCGAGGAAAGGAAGAGGAGGAGAGCCATGAACTCTGGCGGATCAGCACTGCTGTAGCAGTGGATCTTGCTGCAGTATTGGCTGCATCAAGGGCCGCTTGAAGAGTGGTACAGGAGATGATTTGTACCTCGGAAACAAGGACTTGTAAATTGTTTCTTTTCTTCCGGAATGTCATCAATAAAGTCCATGAATTTATTGTAATTTTTGTGGTCATATTTTGCCAGAACGGCTGTATAATTAGCAATGCGAAATTGTAACATGGAGGATGTGGATACCTTATGTCCGAGCAGATCTAATCGCTTACTTTCCTTGTTGAATGGGGTGGAGCGGGGAAACTGGTGTTTGGTCTTTTGGTTGACAGCGTCTACTACCAGAGAGTTTGGCACTGGATGAGTGAAAAGGAATTCAGAGGCCTTGGAAAGGATGAAGTACTTCTGATCCGCTCGCTTACAGGTAAGTAGGCTTGCAGTGGGAGTTTGCCAGATAGCCTTAGCAGGTTCCAAAAGGGCTGTGTTGATCGGTAATGCAATCCTAGAAGAAGAAGAAGAGGGCTGCAGGATGTCAGTTAGCTCATACTGCTGTTCAGAAACCTCCTCCCGGTTAATTCTTAACTCATTGGCAACTCTTTTAAAAAGATCTTGAAAGTTTGAGAAGTCATCAGAAGATGTCGGGGAGGAGGAAGTAATACTTCATCAGGCGTAACCACTGGGTCTACTGGGTTGGAGGCAGGTCGTGATTGATCCTGCAGTTGTGATGGTGCTGCCTGGTGTCTTAAGTCAGTGACAGATTTGTCAACTGGCGGTACCGGGCAGGCATCACACCTGGCTGTGGTAGCATAGCAAGTGTGGTCTCGAGAATAAGGTGCCCATGGAGCCCAATATTGCCACTGTGGTGGGAAGGGCATGGGTGGTGCCATCCAGGGGTTTACACACCACAGGGCAGGATCCTAAGAGTAGGACAAGGTAACTTTTCTATGACCTCTATTGATTGGGGTCTGAGGACGGGAGATTTGATAGGGTGAAAATTTTCCCTGCAGTCCAGATTCCTCATCACTGGAGGAAGGCTGTCCGGACCCTGACTGAGCATTTGGAGAGAAGCAAGCGTTAAGTAGGGGTGACTGCAGGATAGGGGACACCAGCCGGTCCCTCGACTGTGTGAATTGCGGTGCCACAGCCCCTCTGTGAGGTGAGGGCTGTGCAAGAGGAATCTGTTGTGAAGAAAGGTTCCTCTGCACCGGTGTCCTGAGCTTTGTTTCGCTGCCAGCCAGTTCAGAGGATGACGGTGCCGGGAGAGCGAGAATAGCCTGCGGGGGAGTCAGGCATGTCAACATGTGTCGGCACCGAACGGTGCCGTGAGAGAGGCCAGCAACTGGAAGCTTTGGCACTGAAGCTTTGTGCTCCCGCCGCAGGCGGGTTTCGCACAGCGCCAGAGGAGCCCGGCGCGTCAAAAGTGCTCAGCCGGGGAAGCGCCGGGAGGGAGGTTGTAGACCTGCCCGGGGAAGTCTTCTCCAGTGAAGTACCCTTTGCGGGTGGAAGTGAGTGCTGTTTTTTTGAGGTTTTCTTTTCTTTCTTTGAGGTGGGAGGGGCGGGGCCTGCGGCGTGTAGCAGAGTCGGCGCCGGGGTCTGAAGCTGATCCTAAGGACTTCTGGAGGAGCAGTAGTTTTGGTCTCAGCTCCCTGTCCTTATGTGCCCTGGATTTTAGCTTGCTACAGTGGGCACATTTTGGGGGGGGGGGGAAATGTGGGACTCCCCCAAACATTTTATACATTTTGAATGGCCATCAGAGAGGGATGGCATCATGGCAGGTAGAGCAGCGCTTAAAGCCTGGGGAGCCAGGCATGTCGGAAGCGGCTGCTGCTGACAGGAATGAGAAGGTTGGTTTTTTTTGCTTGTTTTTTTTAAAGAGAGAAAAAGATAGGAGAAGTTGTATCTAATTACTACTGGGAAAAACTAATTAACAAGGAAGGTATTTGAACAAAGGGAGAGAAAAGTCTCTAACGAGTCTGCTGAGCTCCATCTCAGCCGGGGATGGTAGAGAAGGAACTGGGGAGACCGGTCGTACCCGTGTACTATTAAGGCACTCAGCGTGTGGGGCAGGCTCTGCGTGTGCGCGACCGGTAGAAGTACTGCTGTCAAAATCTCCAAGCAAAGATGCAGGGACACACCAACACCTGGAGTGGCGCACCCACAAGGACATCTCGAAGAAGAAACGGGACAGGATCCTGGGGACGCTGCTGCTGTGGGTGTGTGAGAAGAGGTGGCCTGGGGCCCCGCCAATGCTGTTGTGGGGGGGGGGAGGGGTGGCAGCTCGGGCCTCCGCTGCTGCTGTTCCGGGACCAGCTGCCTGGGGCTGCCCGGGCAGCGGCTGTCCCCCAGAGCCACCCCAGCTGCTCGGGCGGCCCTGGGGTCAGCTGCACCAGTCGCTGCAGAAGTCACGGAGGTCTGAGAAAGTCACAGAATCTGTGACTTCCGTGAAAGACTCGCAGCCTTAGGCATGATAATATAAAAATAATGTTTCACATTACAGCTGAAGCTAAGATATCAAATCTCTTATTCCAAAGGACTCTATAGTACTTTACAAAATTGATTTTGTGCTGGCAGACATCAAAGGGGGTATGTTTGTATGGAGTCAGTTGAACGATTGGGGATTTAAACTGCTACACTCCATTTGGACCACATCATCTTAACTAAAGTATACAGGGAGAGCTTCCTCTGTTATACAGTGCAACGATATCTCTGGGTGAAGTACAGAAGCTGTTTAACAAGACTGAACAATGCTACCCAACAGTCTTATGCAAGGAATAAAAAATATTGTAGTCAAGTGCAAGAAGTTGAGGTAAATCATTTACTCCCACAAAAAGTGCCATGGAATTTTTAAAGATCACAAGATACTTTGCAGCAGACATCTCCAAGCATAGTATTAGATACTGCCTCAGAGGAAAGAGTGCTAGCTACTGAATAAACAGCAGATTATCTTGTAGTACTTGGCTGCTTGCTACCACTGTTCAGTTCCCCACTTGCTAAACAATCTATTCATTTAGCCTGGTCTTTACCAGATGCTTACACATAAATAAGCAACCTATTTTTCTTCACTATAACCCCTATCCACATTTCCTTTGTCAGTTATCTCTTGTAATGTTATGTTAAATTTAAGATGTTTGGCACTCTGGGCAAGTCTACACTTAAAACGCGGCACCGGGGCAGCTGCACCAATGCAGCTGCACCACTGAAGAGCTTAAGTGAAGACACTCCTATGCTGAGGGCAGAGCTTCTCCCATCAGCATAGTTAATCCATCTCTGCAAGAGGCAGTAGCTATGTCAACGGGAGATGCTCTCTGGCCAACACAGCGCTGTCTATCCCGGGGGTTAGGTTGGTATACCTACGTCGCTCAGGGGTGGATTTTTCAGACCCCGGAGCGACATGGTTATACTGATATAAGTCTGTAGTGTAGACTTGTTCTGTCTCTCATTTTGTAAACCACTTTCACGTTCTTCTGATGCTATGTAAATAATATTAATAAATTCATTTGTGGAGGCATCCTTTCAAAGTACTTGTGCAATTTGAGGGGGGATCATGTTGGTGTGGTGAAAAGAGATGATAGTCAGCACTCACCGAGGAAGATTTTCCACTGGAATCTTGGCATCTTCTATTTCAGGGTCTGGAGCACTGAAGTCAAAAAATAAAAAAACATTTTATGTACCAAACAAAATGCTATTACAAGTAAAATATATTTCTCCAGAGCACTCTCGCAAATCAAGGTGGTTTAGTAGCCGTAGGAGATAAATATATATACTACAACACTAAAGTCAGTAAAACAGGCTTATCATTGGTTTTAGAATGGCAAGAACAATAATAGGGCTCAGGTGCGAGGCACAAAAAAAGGTGGTTTCCACTTATGTGGAGCACCACAAAAAGAGCATCGGGGAATGCATGTATGCCCTTTTTTTTTTTGCTTCTCTCTAATGTAAAAAGCCCTGGGAGGGGCTTTTTCTTCCTTCAAAACACATTTTCTTGATTTTGTCACATATGAGAAATTCAAGACTTGTCCACCTGGGACAACACTATATGACCACAGATGGGGCAAGAGTATCACTACACAGATACCAAGGAAATGAAACCTGATATTGAGGGGAAATGTAATTTTCAGTCAAACCATTTAAAATACTGTTTTTTTTTTTCATGCCTATTTAACTAAAGTTTTTTCCCTACACACAAAATTTATAGCACTTTAACTATATTGGTATACAGTTATTTTGGTACAACACTCCTAGCGTGGATACAGTTATTAACAGTATAGTTTATTCCTGTACAGGAAGGGGAATAAGCTGTACTGGTGTAAGTGCATCCCCACTAGTATAATTGTGTCCTCCCTCGGAGCTGTACCAGCATAACTGTAATTGGTTAAATAAAAAACAAAAAAAAAAATCACAGATCTAACCAAAATAGTTATACCAATACAAATTGTGTTTGTAGACCAGGCCTAATGTAACTGGAAGAAAAGACATGTTTGGATCTAATGCCCCCATGTTTTCAACTAAGAGGTGAGAAAATTCCAAACTTCTCTCTCCATTTTTCCCCATCACCACATGCCATCAAACAAATTCAGAGAGACCAGATTTGATATCCTTAATATAAAGGTTAAAAAAAAAAAAGTTTCAGATCTTCTTTATATGTCATAAAGCAGCAAAAGTGGGCACAAATCCAATCTTCCCTTTGCAGGTCATCTTTGGCTAAGTATGCACTACAAAGGGCATAGCTATGTCAGTCAGGGGTGTGAAGAAGTGTGACTCCTGACTGACGTAGCTGTGCTGGCACAAGGCACTTAGCATAGACACCATTATACTAGAAAAACTGCACTTTTACCGGTATAGTTTATTTCATTCAGCACAGCTGGAATAAGCTGTACCAGCAAAAGCACAACTTTGCCAGCATAAACTATGTTCACACACAGAGTGTTTTGCTGCTATATTATACGGTAGCAAACTGCTCCGAGTGTAGACCTGGCCTTTAACTTGAAGCAGCTCTTCTCTTCAGGAGATCTAGAAGGAAATTACTTGTTAAATGACTGAAGTCAGATTTACCATCATTTTTACCTGAAGTTCTACTTTCTGTAGGCTACATGCAAGTTGTTATTTATACTGCTGTAACACCTAAGTCCCGGAGACACGATCAGGATTGATTGCAAGGTGCTGTAAAAATATACAGGCCACAGTGCATAGGGAATGTGTAGCTACATGCCATAATGAAAAGCAGGTTGCCTCCACACTGCAGTGTGTAACTACACTTGTCAGTGAAAGGCTCTGGCTGTAGGGGAACCTGTCAGAGCCTTTCCCCACTGCCTCCCCCATGCCAGAGCCATTCCCTGCTGCCAAAGTCTCTCTCTGTGGCAGGAAAAGGCTCTGGAAGGTCCCTGTGGCAGTGAAAGACTCCAGCAGTGGGGAAGCAACTGCAGGACACTATACTGCTAAAAATAATAGCGTTGACATCGGAGGCACTACTTGGGTGAGTAGAGAGCTGTGTAGGGTGTATATACCCAGGTACACAGCCACAGGGTTCAAGTGTGTCTTTACTTTACTCACCTAAGCGGTGCCTCACGGTTTACATTGCTATTTATACCCATGCTAGGAGGGAGCATAGTGTATGTATTCTACACTCCACCAAAAGAAGCATGTAGTGTAGACATACCTATAGAAAGACAATCCCTGTATCGAATTGCTTACTATCTAATTTAAGACAAGATGTAACAAGTGAGCATAACAAACGGTAGAAAGGTCGGAAGGAAAGGGGATAAAGGTAACAAGTTCACATGGTAACATAGGATAGTAACCACTCAACTTGATGGTTCCAGACCATCTGAAATGTTTGTTCTAATGGAACGGATATACACTTTTGTGTAAGATTTAGGATCAACAATTTTTCATACACCACCTTTATATCTTGTGATATTATGGAGCACCAAAGCCATTCCAAAGTTAAGGTTATAATCAAGCTTTTACTACAAGCCTAATAGTTCTCCTATCTCCAAAATCCACAACAAAGGAATAGGAGTCTAAAAACTGTCAGATTAAGACTGGGGTGGAGATAGATGTTTTCTACTAAATGTGAAGTGATTTGGACAAAGGGTTCCTCCCTAAAACAGATTTTCAGCAGCCTCCAAAACTTCTGAACTTTTGTTTCTGATGACAGAGTGGCAAAAATTTTAAAAAGGGGAAAGTGAGGAAAGGGGAAATAGTACATAACAATTTAATTCATCTGGTCAAAATCTCGTGCACAGAACCAATGTTTCATTTCCTAGAGTCCAACATTCAAAGTTTCCAAAACTAGAAAACTTTGCTTCAAATCCAGTCAAGGTTGCTAAGTGACAGCAATGTATCCATATATTACATCATTTACAAAACTGAAGTACTTGAAAGCAAATAAAAAATAGGTAAGGACATCTTGAAGGTTACACTACACCTTCCACAACATTTTTTAAACAAAGTATGTATTTTATCATATCAACCACAACTGAGAGACATGGATCGCTGGGGGAATTTTAATGTATTTTTGATTTTGATATCTAAATATTTCAAGGAATATTGGTATATGGGGATATTAGTTAATATATCAGAAAAATAGAAGTACCCATTGCTGTTTCTTGAGAATAAGGGTGTAGCTGTAGTTCAATAGCCAAACGTATGACATTATGTGGCCTCACCATTGAAATAATTGATGTGTCATTAAAGTGCTCATTATTGATATAATTTGTATTTGACAGAAAATTGTATTTGATGTGTCACTCAGGAATCTTAACTGATCTTTGAAATACAGCTTGTTGGTTTTGGAACTTCCCAGAGCTGTTAAACATCTTTCATTTTTCCTCTTCTGTAGGTGTCACTGCATTCAGTGGCAATCCAGACCAGTAGGGGGCTGTCACCACTTGCCCTGCAATCCTGGGTGCCTTACAATATTTTGCTGCTGTAGCTCCCAGCCTACCTACAAGCATGCAGGTCACACCCTGGGTCTGTGTGCTAAACAGCCCTGGTTCAGCAGCTCTGAACCCCACTCTGGCTTCCATTAGCCTTGGTTACAACCACCAAGATGACCCCAAATACATTCCCAGTTCTGAATTTTACCAGTGTGGTAGGTGTAGTGAGTATGTCAGGCCTGACAAGATTTGCTGACACACAGTAGTGAACCACAAATGGGGCTTGGTGTCACAGTAGGTAAATGAAGATACAAAAAAAACCTTAATGAGAGATATAAAATATAAACCTAAATACATAACACATAACTGGATCCCAGTTAGTCTCTGCTAGTGGGTTATTTTTAATAAACTTATTCTGCTAACTTCCTGTAAGTAAGATCATTACTTAAAAAAATTGGAAAAACATGGCTAAGCCCCGTGGCGCTTTAGCAGTGAGCTGTTTCAGAGGTCTGACATCCCCCCAGTTCTCAGTGAATAAAGCTAGAGTTAATGAAACAATATATCCTATGTTTTCAAAGCATCATGTGGGCTTTAAACACGATTCCCACCGAGGTAAATGGGAGACATCTGCTAAAACCCAGCCCAGCTCTGAAAATATCTACCCTGCTAAAGTTAATAAATAAGTAGCAAACTGAAAAAGAGAAAATATGGGTTTCACAATATATTACCCTTTCCCAGCCAAAGCTGGACATATTGGACTCTTGTAATTCTCTGCCACATTTCCACAGCTGGTGCATCGGGTTTTGAATAAGCTACCTGAAATGCACAAAGCAGCAATTCCAGATTTTAATATCAAACAATGACTTTCAGATGTGGTTACGCATGCAAACAGTTATATCCATCCCAAGTGTTCCCTTATTTGACATTGGAGAATATATCTTGTGGGCAGTTTAAGTTACAGGAACACAGAACTAAGAAATTCCAGCTTGGCAGCACTGTGAATTAGTTTATTATAAAGCATGTACATAAAACATTTTTGATTGGCAGTCAAAGAAACCAATAGCATATGTATTCACAAAGCCAGGATAGCAAAGGCAGGAGCGCAAGTTTAATAGAAACTGCCATGCTGAACCAGAGAAATGGTCCCTCTAGTAGACTGTGGCTTATACTCTGGTTTATCTCATGACATCTAGATGACTAACACAGTATTGCTGAAATTTTTTTTGTAAAAAAAGGGGAATTGTTTGCAATCTGGCTAAGAAGGATGACTTATGATGGTAGCATTCCCTTCTGCATTCAGGAGAACTGTGTTAAAACACACACTTTGTAATTTGCACAAAAAATGCTCAAAAAAGGTACCTCTGACTTCTCAAATAATTAACAGCGAATGATATAGTGAGGCCTGACATTACTAAGACTTCGTAATATACTGTAGTATATTTTGTAAAAATGAATTATAATCAAAATTAAACTACACTTATCCGAATAAGTGAACAAAATACTTTGTGATGTATTATCCCTGCTCACGAACTGGAAAACTCAGCAATTTGTAATTCCTACCCTTTAGGATAAATAAGCTAAGTTCTATTGTATGAGTATATTCATCCAAGTGGATCTGAGACATGCAAGGAGAAAGTGTTAAGAGAGAGACAGTTCCAGTGCCATTGTCAGTATAAAAAACAAAATGACAAACAACAAAGGGAAGAGACAGCAGGTGATGACAAGTTCAGGAATAGCTGGTCAGAGTAAGTACATGTGTAACCCACACACCTCCTTGGGTGTGGTGTTCTGTCCCATCTAGTGGCACCGAGACCACTTAGAGAGAGTGTTAAATGAGTCTGCTCTACAGCCTTAGCTAACAACCAGCTGACTTTTAGCTCATGCGATAGAGGCTCATGCACTAAGCTCCAGAGGTCCCAGGTTCGATCCTGCCCGCTGACAACTGGGGTCTGTCGGCGCTACACATGCATTAAGACTGGTCGAAATTTTCCATCTCAAGTGCTTGACAGAAATTGGGTTTTCAACAAAACAACTGTTTATGAAAAAAAGTGTCTGTTTTCCCTGGAAAATGTTGACTTTTAATCTAAAACTCGAACGCCTGAAAACCAAAAATTTTTTTTGGAAATGCCACCACAGCACCTCTTGCGAGCGATAGTGCAGGTGTCTTATGCACCCATCCCAGATTACATCTCCCTTGCTGCACCCTGGTGTCCCTTCTTGCTAAGCAGTCACAGTGTATCATAGGAGGCCTTGGCCACAATGTGTAATGGGAGATGTAATCTGACCAGGAAGCCAGACCCATAAAGGAGAACTGGGCCACTGGGCACGTGGCATTACTGAATAAAAATGGTTTTGGTTTTCAGTTGACGTTTTTGACTGAAAATTTCATTTTCTGCAAAAATTCAAAGATTTCAGTAGAAACTCCCCCCTCCATCTTCTGATCAGTTCTAGTGTATGCGTGCATTAATACTAACCATGAATTTCTAAGAGGTGTTTTGTGCCTGCCTTTCTGTGGAGCTCATCAATGTTCTGAGTAATGACCACAACACTCCTTCCCTGTTTGCTCAGTCTGGCTTCACACTCTGCAATGGCAATATGTGCTGGATTTGGTTGTTTACTCAACATCAGCTCCCGCCGGTAATGATAAAATTCCCACACACGGGAGGAGTTCCTTGCAAAGGCTTCTGGGGTAGCCAGTTCCTGAAAAAACATTCATTCATTAGTAATAAGAGCAAAACAACTACACCTGATAACTTACATGTGACTGTATCTACTATTAGGGATGTCAAACAATTAAAAAATTAATCGCGTTATTAATCACACTATTAAACAGTAATAGAATACGATTTATTTAAATATTTTTGGATGTTTTCTACATTTTAACATATATTGATTTCAATTACAACACAGAATACAAAGTCTACAGTGCTCACTTTATATTTATTTTTGATTACAAGTATTTTCACTGTAAATAAACAAAAGAAAGTATTTTTCAATTCACCTCATACAAATACTGTAGTGCAAGCTCTATCATGAAAGTTGATCTTACAAATGTAGAATTATGTACCAAAAAACTGCATTCAAAAATAAAACAATGTAAAATTTTAGAGCCTGCAAGCCTACTCAGTCCTACTTCTTGTTCAGCCAATCGCTCAGACAAACAAGTTTGTTTACATTTGCAGGAGATAATGCTTCTTGTTTACAATGTCACCTGAAAGTGAGAACAGGCATTCTCATGGCACTGTTGTAGCTGGCGTCGCAAGATATTTATGTGCCACAGGGCCGGCTTTAGGCCGATTCAGCTGAATTGGGCCCCGCGCTAAGAGGGCCCCGCGCCGCAGCTCTCCACCCCGCCCCCAGCTCACTTCCCCCTCCTCCCCTCTCCTGAACGCTCCGCCCCCTGCTCCTCCCCCTCCCCTACTTCCCACGAATCAGAGGTTTGCGGGAAGTCTGAAAAGAAGCAGGGGCAGGCAGGCAGCACCAGGTAAGCTGGGGTGGCGGGGGCGCGAGAAGGGCTCCGGGGAGGCGCGGCGCGGCCCAGTCCAGCCCCGGCCGAGCAGCTCCCTCCGGCCCGGTCCCCCGGCTCGGCTCCAGCCGCCGACCGGCTCCGGGCCGGACCCAAGCCCCGCGACCCCAGCCGGAGCTCCGGCTGGAGCGTGGCTCCATTCCTGGGGGCGGGGCTTGAGGCAAGCCCCGCCCCCAGGAATTGGGCCCCGCTCTTGCTAAAGCCAGCCCTGACGTGCCAGATGCACTAAAGATCGTATCTCCCTTCATGCTTCAACCATCATTCCAGGTGACATGCGTCCATGCTGATGACAGGTTCTGCTCAATAACAAGCCAAAGCAGTGTGGACTGAAGCATATTCATTTTCTTATCTGAGTCAGATGCCACCAGCAGAAGGTTGATTTTCTTTTTTTCTTTTTATGGTGGTTCGGGTTCTGTAGTCTTCGCATTGGAGTGTTGCTCTTTTAAGACTTCTGAAAGCATGCTCCATACCTCATCCCTCTCAGATTTTGGAAGGCACTTCAGATTCTTAAACCTTGGGTCGAGTGCTGTAGCTATCTTTAGAAAGTTCACAGTGGTACCTTCTTTGCGTGAAAGTGTTCTTAAAATGAACATGTGCTGGTTCATCATCCAAGACTGCTATAACATGAAATATATGGCGGAATACCAGTAAAACAGAGCAGGGGACATACAATTCTCCCCCAAGGAGTTCAGTCTCAAATTTAATTAACGCATTATTTTATTTAACAAGCATCATCAGCATGGAAGCATGTCCTCTGGAATGATGGTTGAAGCATGTAGAGGGCATATGAATGTTTAGCATATCTGGCACATAAATACCTTGCAATGCTGGCCACAAAAGTGCCATGCAAATGCCTATTCTCACTTTCTGGTGACATTGTAAGAAAGAAGAGAGCAGCATTAATTCCAGTAAATGTAAACAAACTTGTTTGTCTTAGCAATTGGCTGAACAAGAAGTAGGACTGAGTGGACTTGAGGGCTCTGACGTTTTACATTGTTTTGTTTTGGAGTGCAGTTATGTAACAAAATAATATATACATTTGTAAATTGCACTCTCACAACAAAGACTGCACTACAGCACTTGTATTAGGTGAACTGAAAAATACTATTTTTTTGGTTTATCATTTTTACAGTACAAATATTTGTAATCAAAATATACACTGATTTCAATTACAACACACAGAATACAATATATATGAAAATGTAGCAAATAAATTTCAATTGGTATTCTATTGTTTAACAGTGAGATTAAAACTGGGATTAATCGCAATTTTTTTTTAATTAATCGTGTGAGTTAACTGCAATTAATCGACAGCTCTAGTTATTATGTAGCTGACAAGATAATAACATCACAGTATTTGTAACCAGCTATATCTAACAAGAATACAAGTCAATAGCCAGAATCAGTCCTCCTTTTTCTATAGGGCCATGATAAGTCAGTGTTATACAGGAGGCCCGACTAGATGATCATAACCGTTCCTTATGGCCTTATAATTATGGATCCATAAATACTGTATTTTATGCAATGAAGTAAGGCCATTCAAAGTTGCATATAATTTTACTGTAATATTATCCAGAATTCTCTACTTTTACACTGTGCACACAGAACTCATTCTACACTGCCCAACCAAGCCTCCTCTTGAGAGTACAAACACAATACAAAAGAAAAACAAAGAAATTAAGTGCAACATAATAGTTAATATTTTATATGCACTAAAGAAGCCATAAAGCTGGATACCTTTGCATGATGTATTTTGTGCTACTGGTAATTTCAATTCTGCCTTAATTTATGTATAATGTAGCCAAATAATAGGCTTTCATTCTGGCAGCAACTAATACTTTGTCTCCTGCATGCCTATAAAATCTCAGCCATAATTCTGCATTGATATGGGTTTTGCATTCAGTTTTCTTGTTTAAAAGATAGGGGGAGAAAGCTCATTCAAATAAATCCATCTGAACTATATACTTGCAGTGCTACATAAAGATTGAACATTAATATGTCAAAGTTCTCATATGAAAAAAACAACATTTATATAAATATACTGTATTTAAATGCACAATTACTGAAATAAATACAGGTGCACCTTTATCATGCCAGTAACTGGATAACTACACAGCTGCTCTAGTTTCCAGAAGAATTAAATCTTTCATGAGCATTATCTTAAACAAACACACACATAAAATTGATGATGATAGCAGTGCAAATATGAGAAAGGGAACATTAAATCAAGTTAATTTTGAGCCACAGAAGGAGCACAGACAGCAGGTTGCAGTAGGAAGTTGTCAGTGTGACAGACAAAAGCATCAAGACAAGAAGCAATCAAATAAACAAAAAAAAGTACTCAATACTGTCCATCCCTGTTTTTTATATTTGTCTGAATTTAGAAAGGGAGAGGTGTCCTGCGGGAAAAAAGCAAGCAGGGAAGCAGCAAGGAGGACCCCTCAGTGTCTCCAAGACAGCTAAGACTGTTGTGCTGACCAGCGAAAAAGAAGTTGCAGTTGCATGAGGCTACCACAGTGGAGCGTGAGAAAGAAGCTGCAGAGATGGCTGAGCAGAGAACATTTTGTCACTACTGGAGCACTGTGGGAGCACTGCAACCCTTTAAATAGGTAGCTGCTTCCGACTCATTGTAATGGCACATCTGAATTAAAGGAATAATAGTAGCTCATCAAATGTCTGGCCCAACTACATACCTGAGCTTGCCATTTTCTCCAGTAGCCCCCTGTGCCTCTGAAGGTAGGAACACCACTCTCGGCGCTAACACCAGCCCCTGTAATAATGGCTATATGCTTTGCTTTGGCAAACACTTCTCGAAAATCCGCCATATCTAAATATAATGGAAAAAATGAACAATAATTGATCCACCAGTTTTGTTTCATTTTTAAAGAGACCATTTATTCACTCAGATATATAGCAATGGGCATACAAGCACAAATGTGGCTGCTGGGCAAAACAGCCACACTTTTAATTTTAGAATATATATTCTTTCCTGATGTTCTGTAGATCATAATTAGAAGTGTTATCCATGAGAAACCATTTTAAGCCCTGATCTTGTAAACACTTATGCACACAAGTAGCCCTACTAGCTGCAAGAGGACTACTCTTGTGCATGAAGTTAAGTACACGTGTTAAGCGTTTGGAAGACTGAGGCCTTAAACAAAAGTTCCTATGCTGGAATTAACAGGGATATAATAATAATTCTGAAATGCTGTAATTTCTAGTTATATGTAAACCCCTTTCAACCAAGGGGTGACAGGTTGACAATATCCTGTAATATCCTGAACAAACCTTATGGAATTAAGATAAACTTTACTGAATTAAGTTAAACCTTATTGAGTTAGGGTTAAACTGTATTAAAAATGCAATTGTGTATGTGATACTGTGGCATTGTATGTACCTTCTCTAGTAGGAGAGGGATGCTAATATACTACTTCCCCACTTTGAAGCCACCCCCCACCTCTCCCTAGAGGTCTGCATATACTAATTCAAACTGGATTCTCCAGGGACCAAAGGACAATGAAAGGATTGGCTAAACAGCCTGGGTTTAAACTGTCTAACGCCTTCCAAGGAAGGCCCCAATCCTTAGATTAGGGTTGAAAGGACTGGGCCTAGTGAGGCCCCATAAGTACAGGTGCTAGTTCTGAACTGTGGCTGTGATAATCTTGTGATCACAAAGGAAATCGGTGGGCAGGGGGAAGGCTGAAGGACTCCTCCTCCCATAGCCAATGTTCGGTTTGAGGTGATGGCTGGTAAGCTTATTAGCATGCATGTAGGTTCTTTTATTGGTTTTAGTATGTTTTCTCGGTAACGCTTTTTACCGTAAGAATAAAATAGGCTTGCATGGGAAGTGCTGTGTGCTACTTTATAACTATAGCAATTACACCTGTTAACCATCGCAGAGGAGAAAGCAAGCAGGTGTCCTTGGGCAACCTGTCTGTGCTGGGAATAACACAGTGAAGGCAGGGAACTGTGCAGCCTAGAAATACCCCAGTCAGAAGGGAAAGAGATGCGGGTCTCCACCCAGAAAGACAATGGCTGGGAAGTTGGAAGCTTGAGAGTGGTGCCCTTGCTGGACCACTGAGGGGAAATACAGATGTAGTTACCCTGACCTGTGATACAACCATCTTAAAATTCTTCATACATTATGCTAATTAAAAGGAAGACACAAACTAAAATCTAGTTAGTGTAAAAACATTAATTGAAAATAGTTTAAGGTATGACACCTGCCTCTGAGTCACCTTGTCAATTTTTGGTTTGCATTTACATTTATCAGTCATTTTCCCAGAAATGTGTGAAAAATCCACACAAGTAGCTTGGAAAAGTGATTGATTACAAAGAGCAAAGAATTAAACTAATACACAAAGGGCTTGTCAAATGCACAAACTTAAAAACAAAAATTATTTGCATCTCTAATCTCATTCAATTATAGTCATCTTAGATGTTTCCTTGAACTATAGCAAACAAGATATTTGCAGAAAGAAATATGATTTGTAGGTCAACAGCATCCCTTTAAATTGACAGATGTTACGTGACCTTCCCAGTCTCACAGCTCAAACCAGACCGCATCCCTCCTAGAAAGTGACTGTGGAGGTGGACCTTCAATACTGACTATTTGTATTTTACTATTACAATCTAAAACAGTGGTTCTCAAATTGGGGGTCAGGACCCCAAAGTGGGTTGCAACCCTGTTTTAGTGGGGTTGCCAGGGCTGGCTTACACTTGCTGAGGCCCAGGGCCAAAGCTGAAGCCCAAGCCCCACCACACGCGGCTGAAACCTGAGGGCTTCAGCCGTGGGTGGCAGGGCTTAGGTTACAGGCCCCCTGCCTGCGGCTGAAGCCTTTGGGCGTCAGTTTTGGCCCCCACCACACGGGGCGGTGGGGCTCGGGCTTTGGCCCCCCCATCCTGGGCTGTAGGGTTTGGGCAAGCTCAGGTTTGGGTCCCCCGTCCTGGGGTCATGTAGCAATTTTTGTTGTCAGAAGGGGGTCGCAGTGCAATGAAGTTTGAGAATCCCTGATCTAAAAGCTCTTGCTTGTTGTATTCAAGTTAAACTCTTTTGATGAAAGATTTTCCATGTAGATTATCACCTGGATTTGAACAGCTGTAGCATTACCCAATACCTTACCTGTGAGTTGGTGGGAGTGGTTTCACTACCTCACTTCCTGCAGAAAGCCTGCACTGCAGAAGCGGAGGAGTGAATTTTACTCTGTATGAATATGCAAGACAAATCTAAATATACACACAAAAATATACAGTGACACAAATATATTGCCTATTTTATAAATATTGACATGATAAAAAGTGTTAACAGGAATAGCCATTTTGACCCCTAACTATGTCAGGAACTTGGCAATCATTCAGCTTGATTGCAAGGAAGGTGACTTTCACCCATTTTTAAAAAAAACAAAGCTTCACAGCCACACTTCTCCATTTAAATACTGGTCTCTCCAAGAATCTCACTTTCAAACTAAAATATAGATTGTTATTATTAAAGCCCGGGCAGGTTCAAATCAAGCTTTTATTGAATCATCATTCTCCTCCTGATTATTACAGCTTCACTGTAGTGATGCTGTATTTAATGTTGAGACTGCATTTCCATTCTAAACACTCATTATCAGGCACTTGTAACTTGGAACAGGTTACCTTGAAGGCTGAAATTTCTCATGCTAGGTCTAAGCCTAGAAGGAAATTTTTTTAAACTTTATTTTATTTTTTTAAATCTTTTCAGTCATTTGAATTCAAAGTTTAAAAACATACCATTTATTACATTTTCCATAGGATTTTCTTGCACTTAAACAACTAAAACATTTGTTAAACTTCTAGCTTGCATCCACATGATGACTAATTTGACTTGTTTCCAAAAGTTAGGATTAAAAAGTTACAGAAACAAGGAACGCGCAAACAACATTAATTTCCCATAACCTTACAAAGGGATAAAGCAGAGAACTGATACTACAATCACAGAGCCAAAAGTGATTCAGCAAAGGAGACTGGTGGTTTGGACCTTGCAATCTTTAAAATAAGGAAATATGTGCAGGAGTTATACTGTATGTTTATATAATATACTCTCTCTAGTTTGGAACATTTATGTTGTTCAGTACTTTGTGTCTACAACAATGCTGCTTAACTTTAAGATACTCAAAACTCAGAAAGCAAGGAAGAGAGAAAAATAATTTACAGAATATTTGTCTGGAGTATAGAAAGAAAAATACATAGCACAGGAATGAATTTATCTTACTTGAATTAGGGCGAGCCATTTCTAAGCAAATCTTTTGTTTCTTGGAAGAAGGAGGCTTAAGTCCACAATATGCTTGCGAAACCAGCCTTCTACTGGTAAACTGGAAGAGACTCATCAGGATCACTTTATAGTTCTTAATCTGAAAAGAGAGATCAAATGAAAAGTTATATGAATACATATTTATGTGGCAAAGACTATACAGCGAATATACTCTTAAATACTCTCTTTTCGGTGTCACAAAAAGAACGAGATTCAGTATTTACTATTTCATCCTCCACCCCGTTTATCCAGCCCAAGTATTGCTTATGAACAAAGTTCACAACTACAGTATTTCAAACTTGCAGAGCAATCAAATAATATGATAAAACATAACATAAAAGATTTAAAGGACTGCCAATCCTCCTCTTGTGGAGAAAGTACTGAAATACGTATATTTTTCCAGGTTTTTTCCCCAGTACGAAACACAGACATGTCAAAATCTTACTTGAACTCAAGGTGGAGTAGCCAATTAATATTTTCCCCCATAAAATGAATTAATTCTTTCCACTCTGCTGTGACTCTTGAGTCCGTGTATTGAAAACATACAGTATGATCTCATGGGTTTAATAAAGAAAAATGTGATACTGTGCAGATGCAGTGATGCTTAGGCAATACAGGGCTTTTAATTTTTAATACCTCATACAACCATTAACTAATTCTGAGATTTATTCCCCCTTTACAGATGGTAAAACATACACTAGGCAAAATTCACAACTGGAGTAAACTATTACAACTTACACTAATTTCACTGGGAATTGTGTCCCCTTATGACAAGGCTGATGAGACTCTCAGACAGGGTAAGGGTGACCAAGTGCTTAGTGGGCCAACGGGCTAAAACCATTCAGCCAAGCCCATAATACAGATTTCAATCCTGGTGTTTAGCAGGTTAGATCCAATTACCTCTCAACACAGTACAGCTGCTCTATCCTTTTCACCTTGGTATTGTAATTTTCTTTATACTATGTAACATTTATAAAGAATGAACATATTGGAAAGTGTTATTGGTAGTATTTATAAGTCAATTTCCTCTTTAGTGGTAAATGGAATTTAAAGTATTTTTAAAAAGATAAATCCCATACAATCCACAAAAGCACAGAGATAATCAACTATACAAAAATGGAGGGAAGTAATAAAAAAAAAAAAAACCCTTCATATTTATGTTCGCTACAACCACATATTTTTTCCCTTATATAGAATCTTCCCGGATATTTAAAATCCACAGTACTTTCCATTGACTCAGATGTTCTTACATCCCAATGAAAAGAAGAAGCTCCCCCTATATTTGGAAACTGTCGGAGGTAAAAACCACACACAAAACCAGTGATTATTTCCCTTATATTACCTCATCATTCTCATTATAATATTGAAAGAATAATCTATATAAAAATAGTTAAAATTGGTTTAAATATCTGGTATTGATGACAGAACTACATACTAAGATTATATTAATGCAGAGAGTTTATTACACTTTACAAAGATCATGATTTCATTACTGGCATCAGAGCATAATAATTTTGTCTATCAGACCCGTTAAAAACATTAATATTGTTCAAGCATACATTAAAAATAATTATACTCAAAATAGATCACATACATACATACAGCTTAGACAAGCAACTGTACTGCTGAGAGCATACTGTAGCATGTATATGATGTTTCACTGTGTAACAAAGTAAAAGACAACAACAGTATGTCAAACAGAAACATCTGGGCCTAACTCCTGCAATGATCAATCCGTGGGTGGATTTGTGTTCACAGACCCAATCTGTGGGTGTTTGCATTCATGTAACGATTTGCAGGATCTTCGATTAGAATCTCACTGAGGCAACAGTTTGTGGCAGGAATGAGAGACAGATAAAGGGAAGTCTTATTTAAAGTGTCATATTGGGTTAAACATGGGAAAAACCTTCACTTGCTCTTTTCTAGACTAGAAAAATGTGAGCGTTAACAATTTAAATGCAATTTTGCACCTAGTGTAGACACAGTTTAGCACTTTAAAAATGTGCTAGCTCGTTGTGTTCAGCCTGAGAGGGAGCCTGGGTTAAACACAACATATCCTGCCCACATTATATGCCAGGGGTCTGTCTAGAGTAGGATAATAGGTATTTGTTTTTTAAATGTATTGGGGTGACCTTAACCAGCTAACACATTAAGGCTCGCTTCCCCCTACTTCAAAGCAAGTAGAAAAATATTTATCAAAAATGTCAAAAAATTACACACTCATCCAGCCCCAGAGTCTCTGGTTGTGTCCGTGATCCAAGAAAAGACCTGATCTACCCAGGGTATGCTGAAAAATAAGGACTCCAAGACCTGGATCTTTTCAGGTATAAGGCATATTCATCTGCCTCCCTCCAATTTTGTATCACAAACTACAAGGTCCTTTTTGCTAAATACAGATTTTTGGCATGGGAAAAGATAAGCCCGTACATATCCAAATTCCATCAGGAATGTAGAGAAGAGCTAAGAAAAGCCATCAAAGAGTACCAGATGGTAGAAAAGATGGTGCCGCAGGTGGCTATAAACATGTCAGATGGCTCATGGCCATTAGCTTTACCACACAGTGTGCCTCTTGATTGCAGGCATCCAATATTTATTGCATAGCAGGTACATGTGACTAGAGAGGACATCCAACAAGTTGGATGAAGTGCTCCACTCCCTCAAGGATTCAAGGGTGATCCTGAGGTCACTAGGCATCTACACCCCAGACCATATCATGTCTAATCTAGAAAAGAAGGCTGAAAGGGAACAATATAACAGTCTGCAAATATGTAAGAGGTTGTTAGAGAGAGGACACAGCTATCAGTTGTTCTCCATGCCCACCAATGGTTGGAGAAAAGTAATCAGTTTAGTTTGCAGCCAGGGAGATTCAGGCTGGATATCAGGAAAAACTTACTAACTGTAAGAGTAAAACTGTGGAATAAGCTTCCAGGGAAGCTGTGGAATCTGCATCATTGGAGGCATTTAGGAATAGGCTGGACAAACACCTGTTGGGGATGGTAGGGTATACTTGGTCATCCCTCCCCCCCCCCAGCATGGGGGGGGATGAACCTCTCAAGCCCTACATTTCTATGAAAATACAACTTGACTTTTCTATGCTCGGATTTTCAAATGCGCTAGGGCTCGTCTTCACACAGTTTTTGTACGGCGTGAATTATACCCAGTGTAATGAAAGCTACACCGGGTATAATTCAAACCATACAAGTAATAGGCAAGCCCTTAATGTGTGCCAGTGTAACCCACACCCACTCGGTGTGACACTCTTATCCCTCTAGCAGTGGCTAGGCCAGTTGTTCTCAAAGTTTTGTACTGGTGACCCCTTTCACACAGCAAGCCTCTGAGTGCAACTCCCTTATAAATTAAAAACACTTTTTTCTACATTTAACACCATTATAAATGCTGGAGGCAAAGTGGGGTTTGGGGTGGAGGCTGATAGCTTGTGACCCCCCACATAATAACCTTGTGACCCCTGAGGGGTCCTGACCCCAGTTTGGGAACCCCTGGGCTAGGCAAGACAGACTCATCCGCCTGCTACTGACTTCGCACCCGACCCATTCTCTGAGCTCAGTCAACAGAGGCTCACATGGGGGCTACCAGGGGGCTACCAGCGACCCACCCCCATGGTTTAACAGGTGGCGGCCTAAGGGGCCTGGGCTGGAGGAGGAGGAGGGTGTAAGTCACGCAGGGCGGCTCGCAGGCAGCAGGGGCTCAGGCTTTGGGAGCCCGAGGTCCCAGCATGGCTCCCCCTGCCAGGGCGAGGCCAGCCCGGGCGGGGTTATGTCAGGGCGATGTTATCAGCCCCGCCCAGCCCCTGACAGGCCCGTGAGGGGAGAGCCCCCAATTCACCCCCAGCCCGCCCCGCGTCCCCCGGGGAGGCCCGAGCCCGGCAGGTTTCCCGGGAGCCCAGCCCCGTCCCTAGGCAGGTACCCACCTCCGCAGCAGCGCCCGGTCGGAGGCCGCAGCGGCTGGTGTCGGGGCCCAGCTACGGCCGCTACTGCGTGCAGCGCGGCACGTCCCGCCCCTGGAGCCGCCGCCAGGAGGAGGAGCCGGGCCCGGCCCCGACCAACCCCCGGCCCTGCCCTGCCCGCGCCTGGCGGGAGCCCAAACCCCGCCGCTAACACCGAGCCCCCGCGGCTGCGCCCCTCAGGCTGCCGGGGCCGGGCTCGGCTCTGCTCAGGCCGCTGCTCACACGCCCAGGCGGCCCATTAGCGCAGCAGCGCCTGTCCCTCGGCTCGGCGCGTGACACCGCCCGTGGGGCCGGGTCCTGTACAGAAGCTGCGGAGCTCCCTTGACAGCAGCTTTCGTTTCCTGCCCCTGGGAGCTCCCCCCTTCCCGGCAGAGATTATCTTCCAGTCAGGGATTTCCCACACCCCCTGCTCCAGTTTTGTGAATTAGTTACATGCAGTGTTGCCAATTTAGTGATTGGAAATTTGAATTGAAATTGAAACATTAATACATACTTTAAAAGCATATAAAGTGTATGATAAAATGTGTATCTGAAAAAAGTATAATAGATATGAAAAGTATGAACGCAGACTAGCTTTCTTATACAGCTTTTGTTTTTATGACTATGTCAGTGCATTCATTTAGGTGATGTTGGCCAGATTATGATTTGTAAGCAAAGTCTAAATGAGCTTTCCCTGACAGCAAGTGATGAGCTGTGGGGGAAAGGCTTCGGGACCAGATTGTATTTACAGTCACACCTAATCTACCTCGGTATCCAGCAAACAGCGCTATGTTGCCCAAGTGATAGATTTTGGCTGGGGTTGGGTTACAAATCACTTGAAGGGGGCAGGGGAATGAAATGTTGTTCTTATTGTATGAGTAAAGGGCAGTAAAACTGTACTTAGCCTGTGCTGATTGAGGGCATCAAGAGAGAGGGTGGGGGACAGGTGTTTTGCTTGATGGTCTGCCTGAGTCATCAGTACTATTTGACAAACCCCTCTCCCCTGTTTAAAGACAGAGCTGATTACGCACCATAGATAGTCCTTTGTTTTGTTAAGTGACCACTACAGATGAAATCACTGATAATCAGATCTAAGTGGAAGAGAGGGCCCAGGCTGCACTAGCAGCAAGGTCCCCCCACTGAGAGCTCAGCTGAAATCACTGTAAGCTGGGTGAAACCTGAAGAGACATGCAAACAAACATGGGTGTGGCATAATATTTTCTATTTAAGCAAGAGATACTACACACTACAAACTGGAGGCCAATGTTAAGTGTATTGTCACTTGTTCATCCTGAAGTTGAACACTGGTTCTGAACAAGACCAGCAAATGCTCACTATCTTTCTGCAAGAAACTCAACTGACTGGCTAGAAGCATATGGTGCAACAGTGAAAGACTCAACAGTTGAAAAAAATGAAGACCTCTCTCACCACATTAAAAAAATTTGCATACATGGCTGATGAATGCACCCATACAAATGGGCAAGTATTAAGTCATTGTGTATGTTATCAATGTCAGTGGTAGGCCAGTAGATGCATTTCTAGATGTTCAAGTTATAGAAGACACATCAGCTCCATCTGTGATATCTTAGAAGAGTTAAATGCTTGTCAATTGGACCCCAAACAGATGGCTGCTTGTGCATTTGATGGAGCTGCAAACTTCTCTGGAAGCCGTGGTGGAGTACAAGCTTTGCTCAGAGAAAAGTGTAACCCTAATCTCTCCTATACACACTGCAGAGGCCATCTACTCCAACCAGCACTAGTACAAGCTGCAGAATCTTCAAAAGACATTTAAAAAGCTATAAATTTAATGTCTTCATTATATTCTTTTTTCAGCAACAGTCCAAAAAGACTGAATATCTTGGAAAATATAGAAGATACACTGGGACTGAAGTTCAAATTAGTCCAACCTAGGAAAACCCTCAGGCTTTCTCATGAGCGATCCTTGGCTGTTGTCTTAAAATTACTCCAGCTGTTATTCCTAACTTTGGAAAGTATCTACCAAGATGGGATAGATCTAAGTAGTAAGGCTGGTGGATTACTTTTGCTACTACGTTCAGAGGAGACTATTGCCATTCTCTCTCTTGTAAGTCTACTGTTGAAACCACTTGGGTCATTAAACTATGCCATCCAGGCATCTGCTACAACAATAGTAGATCTTTGTCCAGCAATAGAAGCTACATTTGGATCAATCAGAGAGCTATCCATTGGAAAAAGTACTGGAAGAAGCAACGACTTCAGTCCAGAAATTGACTAATGAAGGCATTTATATTGAATCCTTAAATGAAGAGGACAAGAAGTGTTTAAGACAACTGAAAAAGTACACAGACTTTATTCTTAAAAATCTACAACAGCAACTTCTAGATTCTACTCAACCTCGACATAGCTTTTACAGATCCCTGTCCTATAAAACACTGACAATTGAGTGAAGTGAGGCACTACCAGCAATGGAGCTGCCATGTGCTCAGGACAGAATAGAAAATTTGAACACAGAGTGGAATATCGTACGACGAATGAATGAAGATTTGACTTCAACTTCTTTTTTATCATCACTAGTGGCTTGACCCGATCTTTATGCTATGTTTCCTGGGATGAAAGAAGTAGGAATTAATCTCTTGCTACTCCCAGTCACAACAGCTACAGTTGAGTGTTCTTTTTCATCATTGAATAGAATTTTATGTTCTGAAAGAAGTCGCCTTCTGCCTGATCATGTGAATGAACTAATGAGCATATCAATTGAAGGAATGGAAGTACCGGACACACGAGAAGCCACCAAAGATGAACGCATTGCATTCAAGAAGTTCATTAACAGAGTTGTGCAAAATTATAACAAGAAACCAAGAAGGATATAGATGTCATGCTTCATAGAATGCTTGAGTAGCCAACTTTAATTTGTGTGATTTCAAAACATGAGTTAAATCTAATAAAATGGTCATGAAACAGTTTTCAGTTTTTACTATGGTGCCCTATAGCCCACCTTCACAGTCTCACCCCTCATCGGCCCTGACCCCCCCCCCCCCTTTTCAATTTATGGCGAAAACACTGCTTCCACCAGCGACTCGCTCCATGAAGCGACACAGGCACCTGCAGCCCCTCCAGTGCTGGGGGGTTATGTGGGTTAGCCTGGCCAGGAGGCGATATTAATTTCCCCTACGCTGTGGTGCTACAATCTGAAACAGACACTTACGGGTATTTCTGATGGGTACAGGGCCCATGTTATAAGCCAGGGGTGGCCAACCTGTGGCTCCAGAGCCGCATGTGGCTTTTCAGAAGTTAATATGCAGCTCCTTATACAGGCACTGACTCCAGGGCTGGAGCTACAGGCACCAACTTTCCAATGTGCCGGGGGTACTCACTGCTCAACCCCTGGCTCTGCCACAGGCCCTGCCCCCACTCCACCCCTTACCGCCCCCTCCCCTGAGCCTGCTGTGCCCTCACTCCTACCCCTCCCCACAGAGCCTCTTGCTCACCACCACAGCTGATGGGGAGGGAAGGGAAGGTGCTGATTGGCAGGGCTGCTGGTGGGTGGGAGGCGCTGGGAGAAGGGGGGAGCTGATGGGGGGCTGCTGACCTATTACTGTGGCTCTTTGGCAATGTACATTGGTAAATTTTGGCTCCTTCTCAGGCTCAGGTTGGCCACCCCTGTTATAGGCTAAATTTCCCTTCGGTTCTTAGCTCTCAGATCTGAACTGAATCAGATTTTAGCCTTTGAGGGTGATACCAGGGCCCTAAGGCCTACATGGTACTGGCTTTCTTTTTATACTTTTCCCACACCAACTGGCTAAGGCACAGTCTCTTCCCCCTTACTGCTCTATCCTTTCTTCAGTCTCTTCAAATATTGCTGTTGCCCATTTTGGCTTCTTTCCCTTTTCCATCTTCTGATGCTTTCTTCTCATTGCTGATTACTAGTGTGCAACGCAGAATTAACTCAGCCATTAGCACTCTACCTCCCATTTATCTGAAAACTACACACACAGTGTTGAAATCAACAGCAGGGGGAAGGCACACAGCCAAGGAGAGACTGACAAAGACATTTTCAAGGACCCTGCAATACTGATTCACTTAGTTAAATGGCCAAGACCTTATTGCATACCTGCAGTTAGTGGCTTTCAAATGACCAGAAACATCAAAAACTGGAGAGGATAGAAGTAGAAATTTTAAGTAGAGAAAACTGCCTGAATCAAAACTTTCCATTCAAATGTCCTTGAACTTTAGGAAATTTCAGGTTTGAACAACAGTTTCAATCCATTTCCAGTATTACTCTTCTAAAATATAGGTACTAAAGTATACAGATTAAAAGCAGACAGCCAGATCAAAAACCACAGGAGAGGCTAGAGCAAGAAAACTCCATAAAGGAGTCACTTGTGGAGTTTCCCCCACATTATTCAGTTCAGCTCCCAGATCCTGTGAAACTTCAAGAGACAAGGGTCATCCCTAACTCACTGTTTCAGAATGAGCCTGCACAGCTCTTATAACATCACCTAAGCTCTGATGTCATATCACTATCAGTGCACCGAACATTTACAACATACCAAGAAAGTATATTTCCAGCATGTAGCAATTAGATGCTTGGCTATACGTTTCAGAAGTGCCAGTTCTATGTGCATCCATTGTCAAGGTTATTCGGTTGTTGCTGAGTGAAAAATCTGTTTATTGGTGCGCTTACAAGTGTTGGGTCTTATTTTTAAAAGAAAACCAATTTATAATGTTCATATCTCAATATTTGGGTTATTTTTACTTGTATCATTGGTATTTTATCTTTTGTCTTTGATAGTGACCTTGGAGCTAGGCTTGGAAGGCTTAGATTTTTATCAGTTGTTGATTTCACTGTACACACACACAAATCAATGAAAAATATTTCCATCAATGATAATCACATTTTACAGGTCGGCACAGTAAGAAAAATGTTGCTTGCAAACTTTTGAGTCCCACCTTAAGGTGTATAAAATGTGTTGTAACGCTGCTGTTAGTGGAGCTGGAGCAGAGGCACCATTTAAGTTGGGTGAAGAGGGCTGGGGGGAACCACCCCCTCCCGCTGGCCTCTGTGCTCTATCATGTGTTAATTTTAGGAATAGGG